CTCCCTCTCTCTCTCTCTCTCTGTCTCCCCCCTCTCTGTATGTGCGTGTGTGTGTGTGTGTGTGTGTGCGCGCGCGCACAAGCGTGCACGCGCGCCTGTGTGTGTGTGCGCATGTGCACGCGTGTGTAGTATGTCTTTCTCCCCGTCTCCCCCTTTCTTTATCTTATTCTCCGGTTCTATCAAGCTTCACATGTCCGGTACAGAATTCTAACCACAATATGAATGATTGAAATTTATAATCATTGAATTTGTCGAATATTACTTCTATAACTTACTGTCAGTCAGAGAAAGCGATGTAATATCATCCCAAAATTTAACATATAAATCCAAGACCAATGCAACTCCTTTATATGAGCACCTAGAAAGTTGGCTGACATTTATTCTCTCCCCGACTTTACCAGGCATCAGAAGACTTTCTGAGCTACCCGATGTGGGGGATGGTTGTCTGTTTCTCTCTGATGGTCCTGGCAATACTTCCTGTCCCAGTGGTGTTCATCATTCGTCGCTGCAACCTCATAGACGATAGTTCTGGTAACTTGGCCTCTGTGACCTATAAGAGAGGAAGAGTCCTGAAAGAACCTGTGAACTTGGAAGGAGATGATGCAAGCCTCATTCATGGAAAGATACCAAGTGAAATGTCATCTCCAAATTTTGGTAAAAATATTTATCGAAAACAAAGTGGTTCCCCGACACTGGACACCGCTCCGAACGGACGCTATGGGATTGGGTATTTGATGGCAGACATGCCAGATATGCCGGAGTCTGATCTGTAGCTGAGAGAAAGTAGGGGTTGAGTTTGGTTAATTTTTATCAATGAGCATTGGTTCTACCATGAGAAGCATTGGGCTTCACTTACCACAAAGTGATCTCAGGTGTCTATGGCTGTGATCTTTAATCCCAACAGTTTAAGACCGTTTCAAGAATAGCAATCCTCAGTTTACATTTGCAAAGAAATGATTGCAGACAAAGCTTACATCGACTGAGGTCATATTTTGCCAGGATTTTTTTAAAAAAGCACTTTGGCATTTTTTCAAGTATTTCTATCTCTTAAAAAAAAGGTGTTACCTCAGTTTCTAATAATTTCTGGATTTAATATTATTGGCAATTTAAAGAAAAATCCCTGGTATATCTTACAATTCATAATTTTGCCTTCGGAGTAAGTTTCAGTATTACCAGTAACAGTTGTGTGAGCCGGTGCCACTCCATGAGCACAGTTCCATGAGTGTGTTCTGTAGATAGTCTGTACTTAATTTTGGTAGCATTGAAATCTTCTTAGGCACTTAGTAGGAGAAAACTGCAAAGTATTTTCTTATATGATAGCTGCATAGAGCAATAGTATCAAAGAATAAGAAGGCACTGTTGCTGGATGAGAGAGAGGTTAGGTCCAGATGTGACTGAGGGTTCCATGTGGTGGCTTGTATATTTTGTGTAAAATAGGTGTGTGGAAACGATTGAAGAGAGTGATTCCATACTCTCAAGAATTATGCAGGCTGCATTTTTCTTATGCCGTGTGCCTAAAAACCTACTGAATATTTATTGTGGTTTTGAGATCACTTATAGTATATTTCTATAATATACTTGCAAATGTATAGAGATGCCTATCAGGACTGTTAAGTGCTGATTTGAAAACTTGAAGCAAGATAGCGTTTGATTTCATATGTTTCTGTTTTGCTTCATTTTATGCAAAGACAAATTCTTTTTTAAGTGATTGTTAAAACTGTATGGCATTACATTTTAACCTACCAATAAACAAAGTTTAAACAACGGTGTTTGTTTCCCTCATTGATTTTGTTTGGATCACCTGAACTGGATTATGCTTCTTACAACTCCTCTCAGACTGTCTTGCATTTCAGGCAGGACTTAAGCATTTAATAATAATCATCACATTCCAAGTCGGATTAGCAAAGTCACAGGGCTGAGACCACTTTCCAGACAAGTAAACAAGAATTTGATAATTGAGTGGTGCTTTAATGTAGTCTCGTAACATGGAAAAATGCATATAGCTTCTAGCAAAACTATGTATGCAGTTGAGTACCTCAACTGTTTCATGTCTGTGGTTAGCTAAAGAACAGGACATGTACATAAAACAATTTTGAATACACATTAGAATGTTTGTAATTGTAATCAGATTTCTTTCATCTCTATCTTCCTTCTTTCCTTTACCGGATATTAAACCCGGCATACTGTACAATCTAGGGAAGTGCTCTACCACTGAGTTATAATGCTTTACCAGTCATTTTAATATCCATCATTTAGATTACTCATTGATTTGTCACACATGATTATAAGTCTGTTTCTCCCCATTTTCTCCCCTACCTTGATGTATTGTTCTCCCTTCGATTTCCAACTACATTGGTTACAAAAAACAAACAAAACAAAACAACAGCAAAAATACATGTAAATCAAAGAATGTAATATTTGACTTTCTGTTTCTGAATTCTTTCACATCATTGGATCCTTCTGTGCAGTCACAGATGGTAGTATCTTGCTTTTTTTTTTAAGGCTAAGTAATGTTCCACTGCTTTTTGTATCCCTCAGTGCTTTGATGGACACATATACTGCTTGTAAACACTCAGTCTTTCTGACGATATTGCCGTAGACAGCTCTGTGAGGGTATGATTTTATTTCTCTTCTTGTGAAGTTTGTAGTTTGGGATCCTTCCTACAGTAAAAACAGATCTCTGTCTTCTACTTGAAAACACAAGGAACATTAACCAAGAAGTTAGAGCCAAGTGAAATGTCCCCATTTTTAATACTGCAATGTGGTCAGTTGTTGCCTTGGTTTCAGTGTCTATTAAATAAAAGTCTGAGCAATGTATAATAGTTCCTATCTGTGAGCCCAGTACTCAGAAGATACAGCAGAGGTATTGCTGCGTTTCAAATTCAGACTTATCTACATAGTGAAATAGATAGGCATAGTGCTAATAGATGCCCTGTCTCTAAATAAATAAGTAATTAATAAGATAGGCATCACTTCTCATACACACTGAATCAATGCAGCGTGATAAAACCTAGGGACAACCACCATTTGCTTACTCATTCCTAATGCCAGTGTGAGTTGTATCTATACTTTTCCAGTGACTGTAGTATATAGCAGCAACAGCAGTAGCAACAACAGACAGTAATTTAAAATATCTTTCTCTATAATCTAAAATTTGAAGTTAATTGTTTTTCTATACTGCCTCTGCAAGACTTGGCAAAGGAAAGAGACGTCTCCTTGCAACTACAAGGTAGACTGAAAGTGGTAGAATCCTTACTATGGTGCTGAGAATAACACGAATGATGAGAGGAAATGCCCATAGGGGTGGGTTTGGGGTCTCAGTGTAGGAGACTTTGTCACAATACAACCAGGTTATGGAACACAACTGAATTAAGATGTATTTGTGTTTCTGTACATTTGTGTAATTTACAATAGCATTTGCTTATGGTTAGTTTTCTTTGTGTTGGTAAAGCAATGAATTTATTGTATTTGCTCCTAGTGCATGGGTGAGGGGTCACTTATTGAAACATGAGTATACTGTAACAATTTCATTACTGCAAATCCTATTCCATCATGGATAACAGCATGGACAGTACATCATGGGGTTCCCCTTCCATCAACTTTTCATTTTCTATGCATTCTAGTATCTCCCAAGATTACTGACAATGGGAGGTTGTCAGGGAAATGTAAAGGATACAGATATAAGAGCCTCTCCTTTTCTACTAGGAAGTGGTGATATACTTTCTAGATTACACTCAGCTTTAGGAAGGAAGATAAAATTATGTTGAGATGTCTCAGTGCATTGACTCCTACCCTGACAACACGAGCTTAATTCCAAGAAGCCACAGAGTAGATGAAGAGACTTCCACTTGTGTGCTATGACATCTTAACATACACATACACACACACACACACACACACACACACACACACACACACACACACATATATATATACAAAATAATATTTTAAAATTATTTTTAAATTCCAAGTCCTTCACATATAGTGTTCTTTGTGGGATTTCTGAGTTTGTGAAAGACTAGGACACTGTGGTGATATCTTTTCTTTGTGCCTGTCTCAAATATAGCTGTTTTCCTTCTTTTTGTTCATGTTTCTGATGTGTTAGATTTTATTCTATCTTATGGTATTATACTTACTTTATTATCATCCCTTGAAATCCCATTTATTTTCTAATGAGATACAAAAAGGGCATGAATCAGAATGAAAGGAGAAGGGAGGAATTGAGGACTAGAGAGAAGAAATGTTAACTATGATATATGATAAAAATTATTTTCAATGCAAGGAAAAAAATTAAAAATAACATTTTTCTATACAACAACAACAAACATAGTAAGAGAACATCACAGACACACTTCTGTTTATAACAGTGTCCAAAAAGATAAGTTACCCTGGAATAAACCTAAGCAGAGAGACAAAAGACCTCTAGAGTGAAAACTTTAAATCTTCGTGGAAGTTGAGAGAAGTGCTAGAAAAATAGAAAATCCTTCCATGTTCATGGATTGGTAGAATCAATATTATGAAAATAATAATTCTATCCAAATCATTGTATATTCAAGTCAATCAAAGTCCCTTTAACTTTCTACACACAAACACAAAGTTTGAATGGTATATATCCAATATTTCCATCACCTTGCCTTCTGGATCTAAGCCCAGCCGCCCCCTTGTTCAAAGTTTGTGGGCACATTCTCTCTTTATAATGATGGGCTATGTTTTACCCAAGGAAGTACTCTTCAGTTCTACAACAGAAAAGTACCTTTTGGTTGACTTTTACTATCAAGTATCAGAACAGATTTAACAAATAAGACAGCCTGCACTGCTCAAATACAAATTTCCTCATTAAAACCAGTATATTTCATATTTTTCAAACAATCATATTTTTCTTTATTATAAATAAAGTGATTTAGTTATAAAAACCCTGGAAAGCTTGAAAGAAGTATTAAAAAAACACTGAAAATAAGGCAATTCTAGTTGTAAAAGGCATTAGGAAAGATGGATACATAGTTCTAAGAAAAAATTTTCTCAATAAAGGCAATTGTACCAGTTACAGAAACATGTTCTTTCAGGTCCAGTAAATTATACTCCAGTGTAACTTAACCTGAGAAAATGATGTTCCTTGACTTGAGAACATGGCAATCACATATATTCTGATATTATGTCATGTGATGGTATTATAACATGGTATTATATCATGTCATATTAGTGCATGTTGGCATGAGATCATTATACTTCTGTGTACTCTAACCTCAATTTATATTACTCGAGTAAAATGTGATTTGAGGTCATTGTGCCTACCTTAAGATAACCTAAAAGACCTATGAGAACATACTAACTTGGTTTAACCTCTTCTAAGATCATGGCATCCTTGCAGACTCTCAATTAAAAGAATAATTACTAAGTGTACGCTGACCTGAAATCTCAGTATTACAGTCTACATTCATCTAAGAGGCAGACATACAGTTTAGCACTCTCAAATGAGCATCTATTTAATCGTTTCCTCACTAGCACTGATTCACAACATCCGCAAGGTAAACTAGATCTCAGGATGCAGACAGTCACTTAAAAAATTGTGAAATGAGGAGACAGTAAGAAGGAACCCTAGTAGGGAGGTCATTCCTAAATGTATTAAATAAAAGTATCTAAGTTTTAACTCTACATTTGCTTAATCCACTTTTGGACAGAAAAATTTAAACTCAGTAATTTTATAAGATCAGATTTTATCATATCAATCATTTTTCCTGAACTAATTCAGGAAGAAACTGAAGAACAACACAGCCAACCAATGCACTCTTCTCATTAGCAGTTACCAGTCTTCATTTCCTTTACCCCGGTCTAGTCACTAGTAAAACAATTCTATGACTTGTTTTTAGAAGACAGCTAATCCTATAGAGAAGGCTTACCTTAACATCATAGGATATGATTATTCTCTATATTTAAAATCTATTTATTTGTTCACATTATAACTCAATATCAGCCTAGTACCCACTTGTGCAAGTTCTCTACTCACTCCACTCTATTCATTTCTTTTGAAAAAGGAAAGTTGCCCTCTGGGTATCACCCCCTCAATAACATCTAGTGAGGTTAGGCACATCATCTTCCACTGAGGCCAGACAGGGCAGTCCATTTAGGGGACCTGGATCCACAGGCAGCCAGGCAACAGGCTAGCAGAGAGTGCCTGACCCTGTGGTTGGGGGATCCTCATGAAGACCAAGCTGCACATCTGCTACATATGTACATAGGACTAAGGTCCAGCCTGTGCTTGCTTTTTGGTTGGTGATTCAGTCTCTGGAAGCCCCCAAAGGTCCAGGTTAGTTGACTTGGTTGGTCTTTCTGTGGAGTTTCCCTGGCCTCTTCATATCCTTCAGCCCTTTCTTCAGCTCTTTCGTAAGGATCCCCAAGCTCCATCTAATGTTTGGGTGTGAGTCTTTGCATCTCTTTCCATTGGCTGCTGGGTGGAGCCTCTCAGAAGACAGTGATTGCCACTTTCTCATGTCAAGGATCCTTTTTTTCAGGATCCTGTTGGCAAGCATAGCAGAGTATCATTGATAGTGTCAGAGATTGTTTTTTGCCTGTGAGATGGGTTTCAATTTGGGATAGTCATTTGTTGGAGGGATAGTCATACCCTCAGTCTCTGCTCTATCTTTGTCCTTGCACATCTTGTAGAGAGGAAACTTTTGATAGAAGATTTTCTGGGTGGATTGCTTTCCTTATCCCTCCACTGAGTGTCTTGCCTGGCTACAGGGAGTAGCCACTTTAAGATCCATATCCCC